AAAAAAAATTACACGGAACTGTATATATATATGCATAATGTGTACATATATAGCTTTCAGAGTCCAGTGTTGACCTCGTGAAACGTCCTATACACATTATTTGGCTATCCGAAGTCTACTCAACTTCAAAACAGTTATAGACAGACACATCCATATATGAATTCACTTCAAGAATATATATTTTCCACAAGGAATTTACCATGGAAACTCATTCATGATTTTATTTTATTTTCCTGAGATCAACTTCAAAATTTTGGAAGACTTTATACTGAAATAATCTAAGATATCGTTACAGTAACGGCCAGTTATGCCGCAGATACATTTTTAAGTAGAATAAAAGATTACCTATAGAGTGACACAATAAATCGTGTTTGTGTGACAAACGAGCTAGGCTGAATTCGATTACAAAATGTTGTGAGATGAGAGACGAAGCTGGTGATTAGTTATAATACATTCATATTATGTGGGGAAGCAAAATAGAAAAATCAGTTCTAGGTTGTAAAAGGCATCATTTGAGTGGCTAGTACCAAGTGGTATACGTTAAACAGAGGATAGTAAGTTTGCTGTGAAAAGTTCATCATAAAATAACCACTTAGTGAAATGAAACAGGTTGAGGCATATAGTGAGAAAAGAGATTATATTACTAATAATAAGTTTGGGTAGTATAAATGGAAAATACGATGGTATTGAGAGAAGGGTACAATTTGTGTAAATAATAATAATCTTAATAGTAATAAAAAGCAAAGCAAAAATAGGGGGATAAGATGAAGGGGCACTCTTGGAGAGAAGAGGAATTTCAGTCTAAGCTGGTCTACGATAGGAAAAGCGCCTGAACGCCTTCCTTTTGAATACAGAGTTCTAGTTTAGTCAATCTTATTGAAACAGCTTAAGCTTTTTGTTGGAGATATAGGCGCCTTAATGACTTCTGAATGTGGTATATTTTCCTGAAAGCAATGTCAGCGTTCAGTCTCAACCAAGTGCATTTGATTCCCCTTTGCTGAACCAAGCCTAATCATAAGCCCTACATTACTTTAACCATGGGGACAGTTGAAACGGTGTATACATAAGGAGGAGCTAAGGTTAGGTAAGACGTTTTCCACTTTCCGGGTGAACACTGGACGGACACTGAAGGATAGGAACAGATATGCAGAGTAGCTAGTCTTTCTAATTCTTCCGGTTGAACCTCGGCATATTATCTCGGCAGGAGTATCTCCCTCGAATTATAGGAGTAAAATGGTGGATTTTTCCCCCATCATTACCAGCACATCTCTACGACTGTTATAACCTGCTCTGGCTTTTATAAACTTCTATGAACATCCGCTTTCCCTTGGAATATCTCGAATGGCCCGGAGTTCTTTTTCTACTGAATCTCTGGAGTAAATCGACCTCGCTCTAAATGCTAAGGACCTGAACAGGTTGTGTTTGTATTCCATAGGTACGAAGCTAAGAATGCGTGCATACAGACTCTTGGTCTCTAGCTTTCTAAATAGGATTCTTTTAATGGAGCTATCCTCTCTTACTTTAAGCACGACGTCGAGAAATTGCAGTGAGTCATTGTAATCTCTTTCGTAGGTGAAATGACCGCTGGATGAGCACATTTGAAGTGGCTTAAAATCAAATCACTAATTAGACCTTCATCCTAAACTACATAGTTATCATCACTGTAACGACAGTGCAGTTCATTTATAGCTACTTCCTCTTTCAACGAACAATTTTCTAATTTAGCGAGAAATAGGTTCGCTAATATAGGATCTAGGAGTGTCTGTCTGTCTGTTTTCACCATAGAACTTTGCACCGATGTGCTGCAGTTCAATTTGCCACAACCCGTTTAGCACACAGAGCAAGAGAAAAAAGTAGAATAAATGCAAAATCGAGACAGTAAACATGGATATGGGACGAAAGGAATAGTAATAGCGAAGAACAATATACTTCCATCGCGCATTATAAGTCACAAGAAGTGGATGCATCTGCTCCATTTACTACAAATTTAAGCCATGTTACCAACTGTCTCCACCCATCGGTTTTTACCATCGCGAGAGCCCCAAACGTCAAGTCTACATCTCCCAACGTAGCTTGAGCTAAATGTTGTCGATTTCATTGACTGATGAAGCCATATATTTGTTTGACCACCTCTGGATAACTCTTTTCCAGCCTGACCTCATGTCAGTCAGCTAGCATTTCCCGTCGAGGAAGGCGATGGCTAGGCATGCATGTGTAACACATGTCCTAATCATCTCAATCGGTGTAACTGCTTCACAACCTCGTCCACTGTTTTCCCCTCCTTACCTAGCACTCGACCCAGGTCTCACCTCAATATTTCTTACCCTATTTTACCACTTAACACTGGAGATAGAACACAGACACCTATGATCAAAGACAGCTAGCTAGCCTTTTCATTTCCTCCACTCTCAATGGCCAGGTCTCACAGCTATATGGGAGGACGGAGCGAACTGATGAGCAGTACACACGCCCTTTAGTCGACAGCCGGATATCACGTATACACCTGAGATGGTGTTAACTGGCATATCCGAAACGAGCCTTCTTTATCCATGCTGTGATTTCGTCAGCGATCAACCCGTTGGGGCTGATTCAACTCCCCAAACAAGTGAATTCGTCAACACTCAACACCAACCAGTTCACTCCCTATTTCTAAGCTAGGTGTGAGTCAATGTATTCCAATCCTGTAGCATCGTCTCACGTTTGACGGGAGCGAATCGCGTGCCAAACATTCGAAGACTGGTGCTACTCAAGGTGTTCAGAAGACTCGGAATATTCTCAGCGTCCTCACCTAGAAGAACTATATCACCACCACTTCAGATGACAACTCACCTGGCTGACTGTCTGCATGAGTTCGAGTAGAGTTCTGTGATCAGTGAAATGTATTTTGTCGCCATTCCCATCACAGCCAAACATCGTCAGAGTACCTCTAGGTCGACAGAATCGAAAGCCGCCTCTAGGTCAAGAAATATAACAATTGTTGGACGCCACCGGTAAGTATGCCTATGTTCCGTTCCACACTCTGTCGAAGGGTGAAGATATGATAAATACACCTTCTTCCTGGTCTAAAGGCTGCCTGCTTCTCTCCTGTTTCTTCCTCCCAAGCACCACTTAGTCTACGCGTGATGATTATAGAGTCTAGAACTTTAGATACCATATCAGTCAAGCTAATCCACCTGTGATTATCACACAAACACTTGTCTCCCTTCTTGTATATCGGGATAATCAACGACTTACACCACCCACACTGGACTACCTCTCATTCCCAGACGCTGAATAGTACGTTAGTTAACTGGAGTAGTTAACTGGGGTGAGTATATACGTTGTCTCGTGTTATATTTTCCGCGACTAATTTTTTTTCGTCTTTCATTGGCTAGAATGGTGGCGGTCAATTGGAGTTTGAATTGTCCTTGGGTGTTTTTTTTTTGGTGCTGTATTTGCGTGGTTGTGTTTGCGTCGTTTGCCAGCATATGTGATTACTGTAAACGTGTATGAAACTATTGTAACGCTTTGTTTTTTTTTGTTTGTGCATGTACTAGGCATTATTTGTCGTACAATTCGTTGTTTGGTCTATTGGTTGCTTGCGATGTCAACGAACCGGTGGGTTCTTGTGTTTTTCTGTAATTTAGGTTATACGTGCGGCATTTTCTTGATGGTTATCGATCATCCCTGTATTTCAATGTTGTTTTTTTACGATTTATGTTGGAATAGTTGTGACATAGATGGATCCTAATTGATAACTTTATTTTAGTCCGTTGCAGGTAGTCAATTCGAGTGACAGGAGCACAGATTTAAGTGGAATTTTTGCTGAATACATACTTGGAAAGCGTTTCTTCAGCTGGGATGAATTTGAGAAGTCATTAGCAGAATTTCAAAAAGTGAGGAAGTCATATAATGCTAACAGTGTAGTTATCCTACACTCACTATGTTCATAATTGCAGCAAAACGATGCCGGATGCCAGGTTTAAGTACGCTTATGTTGGTTTTAAATGCACTTTTGGAGTGAATCGTACAAGACCTGGATTGAAATTGAAAAACAAGTCGTAAGAAGAAGTGTAATATGATTTCATGAATATTGCAGGTCTAAATGTTGCAATTGCTCGTCTTCATTTCGCGTGGTTTTGCATCATAGTGAATACATAATTGCTTCCCACAATATGGTGCATAACCATCCATGCAGCAGGGTGTACATGCAGAATGACCCATGGTATAGACGACTAACAGTTGAAGAGAAAGAAAATATTGAACCACTTCTTCAGCAATCCCACTCATCCGATGAAATAATAATGCATGTTAAGGAGAAGTACAACAAGGATATAACTCGCATTGACGTTAAAAATATGAAAGCCGCAGTGAATAAAGGTAACGTTGACGTACTTGTTACATACTTAAGGTATTTCGAGTCGTCGTGACATTTTTGAATTCCTAAAATCCCGTGGGAAGTTAATGGAGTATTATTCCGATGAACCGATCAGGAATTCACTAACAAGAATTTGTTTTGCAACTTATGAGCAAATGGAATTGTATAAACAGTTCCCTGAAGTTGTTGGTATCGATTCGACGTATAATACAAATAAAGGGAAGTAAGTTTACCAATTCATTAATCAACGTGCAGGTATTCTTTGTTCCAGCTACTTGTGACGGATAATTTTGGTCGTGGACGACCAGTTTTATTTGCGTGGACTAGAAAAGAATTCAAACGAGATGTAGTTTGGATATTAGACTGTTTCCGGCAAATAATGGAAGACACCTCGAAAACAGAATCCTTCATTATGGATTGTGCGCAAGCTGAAATAGCAGCCGTCAAGTTAACGCACAGACAAGCGCACATTGTTTTGTGTTCTTTTCATGTTTGCCGAGCTTTCTGTCGGAAAGTAAGTTTTTCAAAGCATACTTTACATTTTATTCGTAGACAAGAAATCCCATTGTGAAGAACTACTTATGCCGTCTAGTGCAGTGTAAAAGGAGATCAGAGTAATGCCTCTATTGTTCTCATTTTGCAGATTTAATTTCTACTTCAGAGTTATTAGCAGATTGGACGCTAATGTCAGTCAATACCTACAACGTCGTTGGATGCATCGACGAGAATTGTGGGCGGCCTGTTTCAGAGATAACGTGCTGACTTTTGGGAACGATACAAATAATCGTGTCGAGAGTTCCCACAAGCAGATGAAACGGTTTTTGCAAAGATCTGATAGTCTGCATAAAAGTATGCTAAAGGTGTATAAATGGCATAAACGAAGTTTTTCAATAATACAGCAGGAGGCGAATATTGCTCAATCACGATGCTTCACGTATCCCTGTTCACAAAGTTTAATCCCAATTATACGGTTGCTTACACCATACGCCGCGAGGAAGGTAATACGTGAATACCAATTGCGACGATGGGCTACTGTTGAGTTCGAATCCGTTGATTATGTATTTTTCAAAGAAAATGGGAAAACAGTGCAGGTTGATCTGAGTGCTTGCACCTGCACGTGCTTTACATTTCAGACCTGTCGGTACCCCTGCCGACACTTGCTTTTGGTCCACTTAAGAAAGCCGTATTTCACAGGTATATTTGCGTTTTTATGACTACGTTTTTAATGTATAATGTAATGTAATAATCAGTTCATAGTTATCTTAACTTTTTTTGTTCCACCTTTTGTAGTTAACCATGTGATGCATAATTGTAAACAATGGACGTGGTCACGCAACTTGTTCGCATCTCAAAGTACGTCAGCAGTTATCCCTCGAAATCGAAGTAACATATACGATACCAAAAAGAAGATTATCAATGCGGGTATGGACAGAATTAATGACAAATTTGGAGAAGTGTTTGCCAATGCTTATGCAGACGGAGTAATCGCAGGAATCAATCGTGTTCTTAATATGTAAATAAACTAAATTTTTGTCATAATGAAAATAAAATTTTCATGTAAATTTTGTTGTCTTTCAATTCATGTGTTCACTTTGTGAGCACGGCATGCTAGACCGGTGCTCTCTAGGACTTTCACTACTAACAATACGTAAGTGTAATTGTGTAGGAACGATGTCGGTCAGCATACGTGTTAAATTATAAGTATTTCAGTTAGCTAACGTGCATAAGTATCATAGTCATATACAAGTCTTTAGGGACAATAGTAGGCATACCTTAGGCACTGCATTCGAGTCCCAGTTCTTATACGGTTACGTGTATTCGAAAGTATTGCATTACTAATGTTTCACTTAAAGCGTGATGTCAATCCATATGACTAAGGCTGTTGACATGTAGCGTAAATTCAACTCTACACCAGACGAATTATTGAATTCGTTGAGCTTTAACAATCGTATTTAGATTTAGCTTACACTAAAATATGCCACCAATTACTTCGTCAGTTCTTATTAATAAGTCATGTCTGCACCTAGTCATCATGACAAATACATCTAAACTCAGATATAATAAGAAAGGTCTGGTAAGCAGGATATTAAATGTATTTAATGAAAAAATAATAACAAGCAAATGTGTTTACGCAGTCGATTGTCGGAATAATTTGTGCAATGTCGAATCTCTGTGACTGGGGTGATTGACGTTACCAGATATCTACAAATAAGTAAACAAAGTGTTTTTTAAATAGCTGAAGTAAGGAAGAAGTAATATTAAAGGTAAACGATTTATATCTGCCTACCTTTGCTGAAAATGGTTTATTCTCCTTTCTCATTCTTTGGTAATGACATCATTATTCTGGGGTTTTCACTGCAACACACATTATTCCTCTTCTAAAGGATAGCAGCAAGCATATAGTAATAATTTCAAATTTCGTTTAAACCAATGTTTACAATGAATGCATGTCATTTCTACAGGCGCAATAAGTTATGTTATAAACTGCAATCGTGAAGTATCATGAATTATAAGAGTTAAATTGTAAACCCTTAATAATGAACACCGTACATTTGGCTAAGTGCTATGTCGTTGGAATGTGAGTATACATCTGCAATGTTTAATGCCAACCATATTGGTGTAAGGATAGAAAATATGATGTTTTCTATGAAAATACAGCTTTGTTCCAACACTGCTGTTGTTGTGTTTCTAATAAAAGCAAATAGACTGTAAGCATAAAGGCATATCCAGTTAACATAAAATGCAGTGTAATAGTGCACAAATGAAAAGACCATAGTGAAGTAGATAAGTGATACTTCAGTGAGAGGTAAATTGAAAGATCTGCAACCTTATAATATGGAAGACAACCTGACATGTAAGATGTCTCACAAATTTCTATAGGGCCTGTGGGGTACCATGGATGGTTTGGCGTCAATCGCAGCTTTGGAATAATGAGTTACAAATGCAAAAGGTAACAACCAACGAAACTGCAGTAGTATTTTCTAGCTGTTCAGCATTTTTTCCTTTAATGCAGTTTCTTATCAACAGTTTGCAGTATTCAGAACATCACAAGTTGCTTACAGATAACTTGTTTAATAATAACTGCGTTAAATATATGAGCCATAAGTGCATCTTCTACATCTTTCATAGCCACAATTAAGTCATTAAGGATCTCACATTATCTTAGTGATGTGAAGCAAAATAATTTTTAAGATTGATATAACCTATGTAACAGGTGTAGTAGTTGTACGACACAGCCGCCAGCTACTAATCGACATAAATCTGGTACTAATTTTAAGTACTCTGACATTTGAGAAGGACTATTTATACTATTCTTCCAGACACAATGAACACTGATGTCAATATACTCTGATGCCATTTCATGCACTGAGCAATTAAGGCATTGTGAAATTCCATGTGCAAATGTCAATTAAACTATTTTCACATCTTCGCCCAAGCACTTTTAACTAGGAACTTCATCTAAATAGATATAATAACCAGGAAATTCAGCAGCCTGTCTCATTCATCGCATAATGTCGTCAATGTGTTATGGAATATTTCAGTCATCCCGGATGATAACAGAAAAGTTTAACATGTTCAAAGCACACATCTAACCTATGTCTGTATGCTATTTCTCTTTCATAGGCCAGATTCTCATAGATTCACTGGAATGACAACAGCCATTGACTGCAGTATATTTACAACCTTAAGATCTGAAACAACTGGAAAATAAACAAACCCTCAACGCACTATAATGCAAATAATAGTCTTTCTATGCGAACTTTCTTAAAAAGGATGACTTCTTCATTGATAATTCGTCCGAGCTATAATATACAATTTTACGCTCTACTAAGAACAAAATACAGCAAAATACTGCCATCCGGCTACATAAGTCTAAAACTAGTCAAATATAATCTATTTCCAAAAAAATAGGTGATTATAACGTCTGTTGACGTGAGCGCGGTAACCGATGGCATTGCGCGATAACACCTGGTGTCGGCCTATATCCTCACTCAGTTAACTGTCTCCATCGTACTTAAATACTTCTGGTAATCTATTGGGTGATCGCATAGTTACTTCGTTATTAAAGAAGAATTAGAAATTCGTTTCTCAGTTATGCATTAGTTGTTTCAGATTAGTAATGGGAATATCAGTGCACAGTTTCTTAATAATAATAATAATAATTTATTTTCATATAAACATAAATTTACATGAAAATGCATGCCATTTTTACAGGCACGATCAAGGATGATATAATGTCAAATCTTAAATTGTCTACAAGTTAATAATGTTTCAACAGTTAAATATTTGATATATATATAAATACACATTGTCTGAACTAGGCTGTATAGTTATTGAATTGTACAATTGTCCTCCAGGTTGAGCGGGAAAATCGACTTCGTTTCGTTTTCATCCCGTGGTTGTAGGCATACGATAACCAACCAATATTGAGGTAAGTACAACGTTTACAAGGAATTGGAAGCTGTTTTAGAAAAATTAAAGTGCTGTGGTGTAACATTAAAGTGTAATAGATTAAGTGAGTGAAATATATCATTAATAAACACATTTATATAGAAAACAGAATGGGGAAGTAATTAATCCTTAGGCCGACAACGTTCATTTGCAATGTATAATGAAACCAATATATTTTATACTATCATGCGTTCACTTTTGGCTTTAATACAATTATTTTCAAGCCAGTTGTCTTTATTTCATGTCTTTTTTTCTATTTGGTGCACAACCGTACCCTCCAGAGAATAGGAATAGAATAAGTCAAATCAAATTCATAAAGAGCTATAAAATGTTAGGTTTAATGGAATATAATGAGAATCAAGTAAAGACGTTATTAGAAAATAAGTGAGACAAGATATTGTGAAGTGGTATTTAAAGATCTGACAATGGATAGCAAGTTAATTCATAAGATGCCCGATAAATCTGTGCAGATCCCACGTGGTCGCATCTCAACAATAGGCTGAGCGAATGGTATATATTTAAAGGTAGAAGCATTATCTGTCAAGGTGTTCACTATTATCTTTTTCAAGATAAAGATCTAAGCCCTCATAAAAATCAGAAATATCTCGAGCCTTTAATTTGTATATTGCTGTTCCTGCAGAATGGGGCGATTCACCTTAGTGACCACCACCATATCTACTGATCAGCTAACGCCACCCTCCCTCCATTTTTTGATGTTAGGCTCTGAGACTATGATTATTATGGCTACCGCAAATATATTGCTTGGTACCAGACATGTTCGTACCCCATATTCCATCTCCCTAGCTTTCTTAATGAGTGCTTCCAATAGGTCTCCACATACATTGTCAATGGAGTTGAAGATTGAACGATCAATTCTTGGTTGTTTGCTCAAAATCAACTTCCTCGATTTTCGCGGAAGCATCAATACGACAGTCATCGTCTCATCGGTCGCTGTTCAGAAAGAAGATTGAAACATCGTCAGAAGTAACATAACGATTTATTATTGTAATATTTGTTTACAGACCTTAGTTGCTTAGTTCGTTTATTCCTTTTATATGTTGGTGTAACAATACAAAATATCAAACGGCAGATCGGTGTTTTGGTTTTCGCGTCCGTTATAACTAAGCGTTTCTCAGAGATCTTCTAAGAACAGCGTGGGCCCGAGCGTAGCGAGAGCTGGGCATTAACGGTTTATGAGACTTTGGTTGACATACATCTTTATGAACATATTATATATGTGTGCATGCGTCCTAATGAACAGATTACTTTATCAGGAGTCAAAACCTTAAAGAGTAAAACGAATAGGTATTGTGAATAGTGGAGCAAGATTTAGCAGAATACTATAGTTAAGGTTCAATTTAGGTAGTATGGACTGAAGGTAAGGTCGGTTGGCAGGACTTAGTGTACTAAATTTTCATGACAGTCTTATATATAGTAAACATCTGACATTGCAAAGTAACGTGTCTAGACATATTATAAAAAGATATTAACACAGAACCAACGAAATTTTGGCGTTTTTTAACAATACTGCAGTGTGTGTATACTGAAGAATGGTGGTTAGTCTACAGGGAGCCGTAGAGTAAATCAAACCATATATGATAAGAGTATAATCAATAATATAGTTCGTATATCAAATATTACACCAGGTTCAATAATTGAGTGTTATAAGGGAAACAAGCGTGGTAAAGCAAGAGAACATTTGATGCATAAATATTTTAAGTATTTTAATATCCATCTAATTT